CTACCCGTACCCGGCCGGGTACGGGTAAGCCGTGAGTCACTGGTGAGTCCACCGTGTGTCACTCATTTGCCAACGTCTTGTCTCTTCTCACAATTCAAGTTCCTAGAATCAACCCACCCGCGCCTGCAACGTGGCTTCATCCCAGAGGTCGCAATCGGGTACCCGATACCTGTACCCTACCCGTACCCGGCCGGGTACGGGTAGCCGGGTATCGGGTAGGGAACGTGTACGGGTACCCGATTGCGAGCTCTGGCATGCGGCAACGTGACCATGTCGAGTGAGCGGCCGGGCAACTTGCAGTTTGACGGTGAACACGGCAGAACGGATGTGAGCTTCAAGCGGTAGGACACCGTCCGCGGTCTGACGAACGCCGCCACGACGGCCACGCGGCACTACGGGTGCGTGCCGCTTGTCGGCAGGCGCGCGGCGACCGGCTGCCGGGGCGCGGGGAAGTCGCCGGGATACGCCGGGAGGTCCCGGACGGGCGGCCGGGAGGCGCCGTCGCGACGGGGGCCGGGCCCGCCCTCGGGTTCGCGTCGCTGAGGATTTCGTGGAGGAGCTCGGCTGGCAACTTCGCGCGCTCCTCCACGCTGGAGCTCAGCACCCGCGGGGAAGAAGCCGCTGCCTTCCCGCATCATCCCGGGAACGGAGACCTTGTACAGGAGGCCCATGGGCCTGCGGGCTCCGAGTGGAGCGTGCAGTTCGAGGTCCGTGGCCCACGGCCGGCGCTCCGTAGCAGCGCCTGCAAACGCGTCTCCCACGACAAGACGGCCGCCTCCGGCAGCTCGTCCAGACCGACGGGCGTGGGCCGCGAGTGGCGGGGTGCCCGCCAGAGCTGCGTGCGCGCCGCCCAGCCCACAAACAGGCTGTGCGGGACCTTGCCGCAGACGGCGCACTCCGGCTGCGGGAGGCCCTGGGACCCGCCGCCACCTCCTCCTCGTCTTCACTTGCCCTCCTCTCCTCCTCCTCCACCACCTCCTCCTCCTCTACCACCTCATCCTCCTCCTCCTCCTCCACACCTCTTCCTCCTCATCTCAGTTGCCCCCCGCATCCTCCTCCCCCCTCCTCTCGCTTCCGTTTGCCTCCTCCCTCCTCCCCCTCCCTCCGCCTCCTTCCCCCCCTCCCCCTCCCCATCCTCTCCTCCTCCTCCTCCTCCACCACCCCTCTTCCACCTCCTTCCTCCTCCACCACCTCTTCCTCCTCATCTTCAGTTGCCCCCGCTCTCCTCCTTCCTCCTCGTCTCTTCCGTTTGCCTCCTCCTCCACCATCCTCCTTCCTCTCCACCTCCTCCTCCCCCCCCCCTCCTCTCGTCTTCCGTTGCCTTCCTTCCCTCCCGCTCCACCACCTCTTCCACCTCCTCCTCCTCCACCACCTCTTCCTCCTCGTCTTCAGTTGCCGCTTCCTCCTCCCCCCCCTCCTCGTCGTCTTCCGTTGCCACCGCCGCGGCAGCAGCAGCAGCCGCCGCCCCCGGCTCTCGCTGCGGGATGGCCCAGTCCACGTTGATGTCCCCGGCCCCCACGCCGGAAGGAGTACGGCAGCAGCACCCTGCGGGCCATCTGCAGGCCGCTGCGGTGGCTTCGTATTCGACGAACGCGTAGCCTCGGCTGAGGCTCCTGTCGTAGCGACAGAAGCGCATCTGGACGTCCACGACGCCCTCCGTGGCGTCGCTCATCGCCGCCATCACCTCGGCCCGCGTCTTGTCCTTCGGCAGCCTCGCCAAGAAGAGGCGGCGATTGTCGACGCTCACGCAAACCGCGATCCGTCGCCCCGGGCGGATCTCCAAGTCGTGGGGTCTCTTGACGGCGTCCGCGGCTTGCGAGCGCGTCGCGAAGGTGGCGAACGCGTAGCCGCGGTTCTCTCCGTCGTACGTCATCATGAGGCGCAGCTGGTACAGCTGCCCCACCGCCTCCAGCACGGGAAGCAGCTCGTCCTCGTACAGGTCGCGCGGGATCCTCGCCACGAACACCTCGCAGCCGCGGGCGGGAGGGGGGGCCCTGCCAGTCGGGCGGCGGTCCCAGCTTCCTCTGTCCGTTCTCCTGGACGACGTTGTAGCCCGTGCGCAACATGAGGTCCAGAAGGTCCCTCTCCACGCAGCTCATGATGTCGAGCATCGGCGCTTTGTCCACGGCGGCTGGTGACGACGGGGGCAGCGGTTTGGGGCCCGTTGGAGCCCTTGACACTCACCGGCGCAGAAGCCTCGTGCCGACAAAGCCACGGCGGGGGGCGGAATCAACTCGTGAAAAGGCGGGAACTCGCTCGGGCCAAGCCTACAGGCCCAGCAGTGGAGAGAGGAAGAGAGAGTGGAGAGACGGATGGAGAGAGAGCTACCTTTGTAAACTCGGAAATCACAATAAAATAAAAACCCAAGAAACTGTGTCTTGACCTTTGAACCGCCCTGTATAATGACCCCTCACCCCCAGTAGACGACCTGGTACCCCTCCTCACTCATCCACTCACTGACCCATCCACGCACCTCACACACCCACTCGCTCACACACTCACCCACCCACTCACCCGCACACCCACTCGCTCACACACTCACCTCACACACTCACCCACCCACTCGCCCGCACACCCACTCGCTCACACACCCACCCACTCACCCGCACACCCACTCGCTCACACACTCACCCACCCACTCACATCACCCGCACACCCGCACACCCACTCGCTCACACACTCACCCACCCACTCACCCGCACACCCACTCGCTCACACACTCACCCACCCACTCACCCGCACACTCACCCGCACACCCACTCGCTCACACACTCTCTCACACACTAACCTCACACACTCACCCACCCACTCACCCGCACACCCACTCGCTCACACACTCACCTCACACACTCACCCACCCACTCACCCGCACACCCACTCGCTCACACACTCACCCACCCACTCACCCGCACACCCACTCGCTCACACAATCACCCACCCACTCACCTCACCCACTCACTGATGATGATGAGAGAGAGAGAGACACGCAGACTCCAAATATACAGCAGTTGGCGTCGCCAGGGCCGGGATCGAACCCACGACCTCCTGCATACCAGGCGAGGTAGTTAACATCTCCTAGCCACCGTGATGATGATGAGAGAGACACACAAACTCCAAATATACAGCAAGAATCTTCAGGATCGAGATCAAACCCATGACCTCCTGTATACCAGGCGAGGGAGTTAACATCTCCTAGCCACCGTGATGATGAGAGAGAGACACACAAACTCCAAATATACAGCAAGAATCTTCAGTATCGGGATCAAACCCACGACCTCCTGCATACCAGGCGAGGTAGTTAACATCTCCTAGCCACCGTGATGATGAGAGAGAGACACAAACTCCAACTCCAAATAAAGTTTGAATGTATGCGTGTCGTTAAACCGGCCATCAGCCGACAGCCGATTCGCAAGGTTTATCACGTGACATACCGTGCCAATCTGTCACTGGAGCAGCACTAACCGGTTGTGTGTTGGAGTGTCTGTGTGTACACTGTGTGTGTCTGTGTGTCTGTGTGTGTGTACACTGTGTGTGTCTGTTTGTACACTGTGTGTGTCTGTGTGTCTGTGTGTGTGTACACTGTGTGTCTGTGTGTACACTGTGTATGTGTGTCTGTGTGTGCACTGTGTTTGTGTGTGTACACTCTGTGTGTGTGTCTGTGTGTGTGTACACTGTGTGTCTGTGTGTGTACACACTGTGTGTGTCTGTGTGTGTGTGTGTATACAGTGTGTGTGTGTGTACTGTGTGTGTACACTGTGTGTACACTGTGTGTGTGTGTACACTATGTGTGTACACTGTGTGTGTCTGTGTGTGTGTGTCCACTGTGTGTCTGTGTGTACACTGTGTATTTGTGTGTACACTGTGTATGTGTGTCTGTACACTGTGTGTCTGTGTGTACACTGTGTATGTGTCTGTGTGTGCACTGTGTGTGTGTACACTCTGTGTGTGTACACTGTGTGTGTGTGTACACTGTGTGTGTGTGTGCACTGTGTGTGTGTGTACACACACTGTGTGTGTCTGTGTGTGTGTTTCCACTGTGTGTGTGTACACTGTGTGTGTGTACACTGTGTGTCTGTGAGTACACTGTGTGTGTGTACACTGTGTGTGTGTGAGTACACTGTGTATGTGTGTCTGTGTGTGCACTGTGTGTGTGTACACTCTGTGTGTGTGTCTGTGTGTGTGTACACTGTGTGTTTGTGTGTAAACTGTGTGTGTACACACTGTGTGTCTGTGTGTGTTTGTCTGTGTGTGTGTACACTGTGTGTGTGTACAATGTGTGTGTGTACACTTTGTGTGTGCACTGTGTGTGTGTGTGTACACTGTGTGTGTGCACTGTGTGTGTGTGTGTGCACTATGTGTGTGTGTACACTGTGTGCACTGTGTGTGTGCACTGTGTGTGTGTGTGTACACTGTGTGTGTGTTCACCACGCCCGGCGGACCCGTTATTCGATCCCGACTCCTGCCGGGGGAGGCGCTCCGGGCGCGGCGGGTCCGCTAGGAAAACTCGGGATGGCCCGAGGCCGACTAGGCCGCAGTCTTCCCTCCCCTCTGTTCTAGATGGTGACGGTGTTGCTGATGTTGTTGTTGTTGATGCTGATGATGTTGTTGTTGTTGTTGATGCTGCTGATGTTGTTGTTGCTGTTGCTGATGATGATGTTGATATTTCTGCTGATGCTAGGGGTGGTGATGATGTTGCTGATGATGTTGTTGTTGATGCTGATGATGATGCTGATGATATTGTTGTATATGATGGTGTAAATGATGTTTATTGATAATGTTGATGATCGCAAACATCAACATAATTTATTAATTTATTCAGTTAGGGTAGCCTCTCATTGTGGGAGGGGAGGGTCTTGTACCCCAGAAAGCGACGTCATGTCATCTGCTGCCGCGTGACGTCATGTCATCTGCTGCCGCGTGACGTCACGTCATCTGCAGCCGCGTGACGTCATCTGCTGCCGCGTGACGTCACGAGCTAACAGGAAGCTGGAGGTCCGCGCGTGAACTGCAATCCGAGGTGAGAAATTCTCATCGTCGTGGTGGTTGTGGTTGTGGTGGTTGTTGTTGTGGTTGTTGTGGTTGTTGTTGTTTACCAAGCTAGAGCCTCGCTCTCTCTCTCGTAGGGATGTCACTAGAGCAGCAGCAGCTTGTGAATCGATGTCCAAGTTGGAACTTTACAACGCGGGGCCTAGACACGCGGGGCCTTGCCTCCTGCCCTCGCCTGGTCGCGTTTGCTTTAATTCCCTCTCTTAAGTTTAATTTGTCTTCACGCGGCTCGCTACTTTGTCACTTTGGTTTATTGTAGATATTAACGCAGTTTTTTTTTTCGTTTTTTTACCAGCCCAAGCCCGCTTGAGCTGCTGTACCGCTCTTGTTTACAGAAGCTACCTGCCCACGACACAAGGTGGGTTTTGTCAACGCGTGTCTCGGTGTTTTGACTTAAAACTTTAGTAAGTGCAGCAATTCATATTCTTGGTTCTTTCGGTAAAGTCACGGAGATTAAAAAGAATAACAGATAATAATGTTAAATAAAATAAAAAAAATTGCAAATAAAGAATAAACCCACCACGTTTCGATCGCAACACAAGTGGTCTTTTTTTAATTTAATTTCATGATCTGTTATTTTTATTTCCTATCTACGTGACTTTACCGAAAGAACCAAGACTACGCGTGTCAATGTCTGTCTGTCAAAGACGCTGATGTTGAATGTGGAGGGGAAAACCGGGGCGGGGTGTCTGGTGTAAACTCCACACCACCACCGGTTTACCATGGCACTGTGTGTGACAGTGTCAAGTTTGTGTTTGCAGTAAAGTCTATCAACTCTGTGTGACAGTGTTGAGTTTGTGTTGCAGTGAAGTCTATCAACTCTGTGACAGTATCAAGTTTGTGTTTGCAGTAAAGTCTATCAGTGTGTGACAGTGTAAAGATGGTGTGTGACAATGTAAAGTATATTAACTCTGATGAACACGGAGGGTGATATCAAAACAATAGTTTATTTTAGTTTTCCTCTGGAACTCTTTATAAGAGTGGAAACAGGAAGTTAGCACAGCACACACACGTGCAGCAGCTGACGTCAGATCTGTTCATCCCATCATTCAAGGACATCTGAGCCTGGCTTCATACCGCTAAGTTGCCACTGAACAACATTCCTGCTGCGGAGGGAGCTGCTAGGAACGTCGGGTTGCTCGCTCAATGGCCTGCAGGGTCAACGGCGGCGTGGTGTATTCCGCAAATATGCCAGACTGTGAGGGCGGGCACAAGCCGGCGTGAGTAGGTTAAACGTTGAGTTTTATAAGGGCACCACGGGGTGACCAGCCCCTCCCCACCCAGTCCCACCCCTCCCACCCACCACCCAGCCCCACCCAGCCCCTCTCCACCCTCCCCACCCAGCCCCTCCCTTCACGACGGACACAATAATCCCCTGTGGGCTGGTGTAACCAGGAGGTTCCTACCAGTATTAATTTACGCATTTCTGCATAACACAAATAGGATTGTTTTCAACACCCTTTGCTATGTCAGCTGAATTTAGTTCTTATACATTTTTATTTTGTAGCCAGACAGCCGAAATTGTGTGCTCGGAGTTTTGGGTTCACATTCATTTTGAAGATACGAGGGCTTCCAGGCATATTTATGACCATTCACCCTCTCATTGTGTGCAATAACAGCCTGTGTGATGAATTTGGGAAACTGTTTCACTACATCATGAATATATGAATAAGTATAGACGTGTAAGTCACGTGTGACTGTGTATATATGCATTCCGCTGTGTCTCGATACTGACGTGTAGATGGTGTGGATATTCTTTTTCTGTCTGCAGCTGTCGCTTCCTCTGCAGAATTGGTCTGATGGAGCAAAGGCACTCGGCGCAGCTCGGTGCGACAAGGCATCAATGCGACCGGTGTGCATACAGCACGGATCGTCCTGCAAATTTGACACGGCACCAGAGAACTCACACAGGAGAGAAACCCTTCAAGTGCAGTGTGTGTGGGAAGGCGTTTGCACAGTCATCTACTCTTGTAACACACCAGAGAACACACACGGGAAAGAAACCCTTCAAGTGCAGTGTGTGTGGGAAGACGTTTGCAAAGTCATCTACTCTTGTAACACACCAGAGAACACACACGGGAGAGAAACCCTTCAAGTGCAGTGTGTGTGGGAAGGCGTTTGCACAGTCATCTACTCTTGTAGCACACCAGAGAACACACACGGGAAAGAAACCCTTCAAGTGCAGTGTGTGTGGGAAGACGTTTGCAAAGTCATCTACTCTTGTAGCACACCAGAGAACACACACGGGAGAGAAATCCTTCAAGTGCAGTGTGTGTGGGAAGGCGTTTTCACTTTCATCTACTCTTGTAAAACACCAGAGAACACACACGGGAGAGAAACCCTTCAAGTGCAGTGTGTGTGGGAAGGCGTTTACACTTTCATCTACTCTTGTAGCACACCAGAGAACACACACGGGAAAGAAACCCTTCAAGTGCAGTGTGTGTGGGAAGACGTTTGCAAAGTCATCTACTCTTGTAGCACACCAGAGAACACACACGGGAGAGAAACCCTACAAGTGCAGTGTGTGTGGGAAGGCGTTTGCACTTTCATCTACTCTTGTAAAACACCAGAGAACACACACGGGAGAGAAACCCTTCAAGTGCAGTGTGTGTGGGAAGACGTTTGCAAAGTCATCTACTCTTGTAACACACCAGAGAACACACACGGGAGAGAAACCCTTCAAGTGCAGTGTGTGTGGGAAGGCGTTTTCAGATTCATCTACTCTTGTAAAACACAAGAGAACACACACGGGAGAGAAACCCTTCAAGTGCAGTGTGTGTGGGAAGGCGTTTTCAAATTCATCTACTCTTGTAAAACACAAGAGAACTCACACGGGAGTGAACCCCGTCAAGTGCAGTGTGTGTGGGAAGGCGTTTGCACAGTCATCTGCTCTTGTAGAACGCCAGAGAACACACACGGGAGAGAAACCCTTCAAGTGCAGTGTGTGTGGGATAGCGTTTGCACAGTCAGCACATCTTCATGTACACCAGAGAACACACAAGCATCAGAAGATCCACCAGGAGTGGAGTCTGAAATCAGCTTGTGAAAGTCAAAGTTCTGCAATGAGCCCATCCCTCATCAAACAAGAACCGGACGACAATCCCAGCTTGGACACTTTGAAAGGTATCGAGGTGAAATGTGAAGAGGTGAAGGTGAAATGTGAAGAAGTGATGGTGAAGAGCAAAGAAGTGAAGGTAAAATGTGAAGATGAAGATTCAACTCCAAAATGTGACCTTCACATCGATGGAGGCAACGTGAAGCAGGAGGAGAATTCTGACTGTGAGGCAGAGCGAGGCAACTCCCAGCAGTTTGTGGAAGTGGAGGTGTGGGTGGCCTCCGAGACAATACAAAGTCAAATGGAGACCCGGTAGATGTGTAAGCCAGAGACGATGTCGCTCCAATAGATGCACCTTTGTCACAGGCCTTTAATGACAAGAATGTGAAGTTGAACACTCAGTTCCTAGGTTCAACCTGCAGGGTAAGGGTGGCCAGTCTTTGTGGACCTGTGTGTTGGGTTGATCTCTGACCAGCAGAGAGCCAATAAGCTCCCAAGCATTCACGATGTTATAATTGCTTTTACATGGTGCTTAATCCGCTCAGCAACTCTGAGTTTTGTATCGTACCTCGTCTCAAACATTCTAAGAGCACCCCAAGTGGCAGCTGCCCCTGTGTGGCACACGGTGGTGGCCCTGCACCGGCCTGCGTGTGGACAAGAGCCTGTCAGTAGGGGGCGATGGTTGATGTGTAATCTCAGTTGTGGAGTTTGTCGGTAATGTTTAGAATTTGCTACATTTTTGACCCAGTCGCCAACTTGCAAAGGCCTACTCGTTTTGAATTGTACAATTGTGTGTTTCACATCCACTGTTCAGTAGAGGGTGCATTCTTTAAATAGCTCCTTGTTAATAAGATGTTATCTAAACTAAATTATTCAATTTTGGAAGAACGTAATCAACCAGGTAGGGTGTTGACTTGTGTTGGCTGACTCTTGTGTTGTGTTGCATTATATTTCTAAGTTCACTGTTTGTTTTCTAATTCACTTGTTGTACCTGACGATGGTTGCTTGTGTTCCAATCGAAACGTCGTATTCTATAAAATTTCGTTCTACGAGACTTTACTGAAAGAACCAGAGAATAAGATGTTATCTGATGCAGTATATTTCACTGCAGTTATTCAATTTTGTGCATATGCCTGTCAATAATTTAGAATGAATACTTGTCTGATTGTGTGCGTACATGTAACACACTGTATGTACACAATGCACACACAGTGTACACACACAGTGTACACACACTGTACACACAGTGTACACACACACAGTGTACACACACACACAGTGTACACACACAGTGTACACACACGCACAGTGCACACACAGTGTACACACACGCACAGTGTACACACACGCAGTGTACACACACCCACAGTGTACACACACACACTGTGTACACACACAGTATACACACACACACACAGTGTACACACACACACAGTGTACACACACAGTCTACACACACAGTGTACACACACACACAGTGTACACACACACACACACACAGTGTACACACACCCAAGGGGTCTCGATTCAAGAGATGGAGCAATGGAAAATGGATCTAAATCAACTTAAACTCCAACCCCGCTCTGTGACGTCACCACTCAGCATTACGTCATCCGCGTGAAACGCCAGGGGAGGTGTACCTCGCTAGTGACGTCATGTCACCAAGGATGTCACCCCCCTCCCCCCCCGTCCACCGCGCTCTTGAACGTGACGTCACCTCCGCCTCGGTCACTGCAGATGTCGTTCCAATTGCCAATCCTTATTTGGGCAAAGCCACGCCCAGTGACTGGCGGCTCATTAACATAAAGAGTTCGTTAAATCCGTCACGAGGTTATTGCAACGGTCTCATTAACATAATTTATTCATATTTAGTTACAGAGCCGCTCGTTGTGGGAGGGGCGTGTCTCGTGCCCAGGAAGTGACGTCATGTCACCTACTACCGCGTGACGTCACGAGGTAACAGGAAGCTGTCGCCCCGCGCGTGCAGTGAAATCCGAGGTGAGAAATTCTCATCGTCGTGGTGGTTGTGGTTGTTGTGGTTGTTGTGGTTGTTGTGGTTGTTGTTGTTTACCAAGGTAGAGCCTCGCTCTCTCTCGTAGGGATGTCAATAGAGCAGCAGCAGCTTGTGAATCGATGTCCAAGTTGGAACTTTACAACGCGGGGCCTTGCCTCCTGCCCTCGCCTGGTCGCGTTTGCTTTAATTCCCTCCCTTAAGTTTAATTTGTCTTCACGCGGCTCGCTACTTTGTCACTTTGGTTTATTGTAGATATTAACGCAGTTTTTTTTTTCGTTTTTTACCAGCCCAAGCCCGCCTGAGCTGCTATAACGCTCTTGTTTACAGAAGCCACCTGCCCACGACACAAGGTGGGTTGGGGTTTTGACTTAAAACTTTAGTAACTGCAGCAATTCATATTCTTGGTTCTTTCGGTGAAGTCACGGAGATTAAAAAAAATAACAGATAATAATGTTAAATAAAATTAAAAAATTGCAAATAAAGAATAAACCCACGACGTTTCGATCGCAACACAAGTGGTCTTTATTTAATTATTTCATGATCTGTTATTTTTATTTGCTATCTACGTGACTTTACCGAACGAACCAAGACTCCGTGTGTCAATGTCTGTCTGTCAAAGACGCTGAATGTGGAGGGGAAAACCGGGCAGTGTGTGACAGTGTAAAGTATATTGACTCTGATGAACACGGAGGTTGTAACAAAACAATAGTTTATTTTAGTTTTCCTCTGGAACTCTTTATAAGAGTGGAAACAGGAAGTTAGCACAGCACACACACGTGCAGCAGCTGACGTCAGATCTGTTCATCCCATCATTCAAGGACATCTGAGCCTGGCTTCACACCGCTAAGTTGCGATTGAACACATTCCTGCTGCTGCGGAGGGAGCTGCTAGGAACGTCGGGTTGCTCGGTCAATGGCCTGCAGGGTCAACGGCGGCGTGGTGTATTCCGCAAATATGCCGACTGTGAGGGCGGGCACAAGCCGGCGTGATTAGGTTAAACGTTGAGTTTTATAAGGGCACCACGGGGTGACCAGCCCCTCTCCACCCAGCCCCTCCCTTCACGACGGACACAATAATCCCCTGTGGGCTGGTGTAATCAGGAGGTTCCTACCAGTATTAATTTACGCATTTCTGCATAACACAAATAGGATTGTTTTCAACACCCTTTGCTATGTCAGCCGAATTTAGCTCTTATAATTATTTATTTTGTAGCCAGACAGCCGAAATTGTGTGCTCGGAGTTTTGGGTTCCCATTCATTTTGAAGATACGAGGGCTTCCAGGCATATTTATGACCATTCACCCTCTCATTGTGTGCCATAACAGCCCGTGTGATGAATTTGGGAAACTTTTTCACTGCATCATAAATATCTATGAATAAGTATATACGTGTAAGACACGTGTGACTGTGTATATGCATTCCGCTGTGCCTCGATACTGACGTGTAGATGGTGTTGCTTCCTCTGCAGAATTGGTCTGATGGAGCAAAGGCACTCGGCGCGGCTTGGTGCAAAAAGGCATCAATGCGACCGGTGTGCATACAGCACGGATTGTCCTGCAAATTTTACACGGCACCAGAGAACTCACACGGGAGAGAAACCCTTCAAGTGCAGTGTGTGTGGGAGGGCGTTTGCACAGTCATCTGATCTTGTAATACACCAGAGAACTCACACGGGAGAGAAACCCTTCAGGTGCACTCCGTGTGGGAAGGCATTTGCACATTCATCTACTCTTGTAAAACACCAGAGAACACACACGGGAGAGAAACCCTTCAAGTGCAGTGTGTGTGGGAAGGCATTTTCACAGTCATCTGCTCTTGTAATACACCAGAGAACACACACGGGAGAGAAACCCTTCAAGTGCACTGTGTGCGGGAAGGCATTTGCACAGTCATCAAATCTTCATGTACACCAGAGAACACACAAGCATCAGAAGATCCACCAGGAGTGGAGTCTGAAATCAGCTTGTGAAAGTCAAAGTGCTGCAATGAGCCCATCCCTCATCAAACAAGAACCGGAAGAAAATCCCAGCTTGGACACTTTTAAAGGTAACGAGGTGAAATATGAAGAGGTGAAGGTGAAATTTGAAGAAGTGATAGTGAAGAGTGAAGAAGTGAAGGTGGAATATGAAGATGAAGATTCAACTCCAAAATGTGACCTTCACATCGATGGAGGCAACGTGAAGCTGGAGGAGAATTCTGACTGAGGCAGAGCGAGGCAACTCCCAGCAGTTTGTGGAAGTGGAGGTGTGGGTGGACTTCCGAAACAATATAAAGTTAAATGATTACCCGGTAGATGTGTAAGCCAGAGATGATGTCGCTCCAATAGATGCACCTTTGTCACAGGCCTTTAATGACAAGAATGTGAAGTTGAACACTCAGTTCCTAGGTGCAACCTGCAGAGTAAGGGCGGCCAGTCTTTGTGGACCTGTGTGTTGGGTCGATCTCTCACCAGGAGCGAGAGCCAATAAGCTCCCAAGCATTCACGATGTTCTCATCATAATTGCTGTTGCATGGCGCTTGTCTGAAACACTTGAAGAGCATCTCCAAGTAGCAGCTGCCCCTGTGTGACAAGAGCCTGTCAGTAGGGGCGATGATTGATGTGTAATCTCAGCTGTGTCGTTTGTAGGTAATCTTGACTTGAAGCTTTCGTGACTGCAGGAATCCACACTCTTTAGTTCTTTCGGTGACGTCACGTGGGTCGAACAATGATAGATCACGGCGTTTGGATCGCAACACAAGCGATCGTCATCAGGTGTGACAACCACCATCACCATCACCACTTTCACCATCACCACCATCACCACTTTCACCATCACCACCATCACTATCACCACCACCATCACCACCATCACCATCACCACTTTCACCATCACCACCACCATCATCACCACCACCATCACCACTTTCACCATCACCACCACCATCATCACCACCACCATCACCACTTTCACCATCACCACCATCACCACCATCACCACTTTCACCATCACCACTATCACCATCACCACCATCATCACCAACTGAGGTAGACGCCAACTTCAGCAGTTATTGACGTGGTCCCACCTGATGGCGATTGCTTGCGTTGCGATCGAAACGTCGTGATCTATTATTTGTAGGTAATGTTTAGAATTTGCTACGTTTTGACCCAGACGCCAGCATGCAATGGACTACTCGTTTTGAATGACACAATAGTATGTGTTAAAATAGCTTCTTGTTAATACGATGTTACCTGATGCAGTATGTTTCGCTGCAGTAATTCAATTTTGTTAATATGCCTGTCAATAATTTAGAATGAATACTTGTCTGATTGTGCATGTACATGTAACATTTTGTCTGTGAGGGTCAAACATGAAGTGTTCAAATCTAGAGTGATTAAGTGTGTGTGTTTAGAAGTAACCTGTACAGATCACTCGGGCGAGATCATTCATCAGTTACAAGGCATACCACTTAAAAGTTACACGTAGAGGAGATACATTCTCGACAACACGAATTATAATTTTGCATTCACGCAAGCACCCGATGCTCCGTTTTGAAGTTTTAAAATGAAACGTCTTCGAATTGTGTTGTGTTTTGAATTGTATTTCTTAATTAAAAGCTTACATCGTTTTACATCTGGAAGACTTCGTTGAAAAGGACATTCCGTGTGAATTCCTCTCGTCATTTCGCCGCGGACTGTCACCTGCTTGGGATCGCGGGATCGAGAGAAGGCGACACGGAGCTGCTGGCCGTGCGACAAGATTGCGGATCGATTTCACGGTCGAGTGTCTGTCCCTGCGCCTCCGTTGTCCATGCAGGCGGCGCGTGGAGCAGAGGTCACACACGGGGTTTGATTCCTTACCCGTACCCGGCCGCACCAGGGTTGAAAACGGCCGGGTATGGGTAGCCGGGTATCGGGTAGGGTACGGATATCGGGTACCCGGTTGCGACCTCTGGGATGAAGCCATGTTGCAGGCGCGGGTGGGTTGATTCTAGGAACTTGAATTGTGAGAAGAGACAAGACGTTGGGAAATTAGTGACAAACGGTGACTCACCAGTGACTCACGTCCTTCCCGTACCCGACCGCACCAGGGTCGAAAACGGGTACCCGTACCCTACCCGATACCCGGCTACCCGTACCCGGCCGGGTATTGGGTAGGGGTATCGGGTACCCGGTTGCGACCTCTGGGATGAAGCCATGTTGCAGGCGCGGGTGGGTTGATTCTAGGAACTTGAATTGTGAGAAGAGACAAGACGTTGGGAAATGAGTGACAAACGGCGACTCACAAGTGACTCACGGCCTACCCGTACCCGGCTGCACCAGGGTCGCAAATGGGTACACGTACCCAGCTGGGTACGGGTACCCGTTCCCTACCCGTACCCTACCCGAAATGAGTGACAAACGGCTACTCACCAGTGACTCACTGCTACCCGTACCCGGCCGCACCAGGGTCGCAAACGGCTACCCGTACCCGACTGGGTACGGGTAGCCATGTATAGGGTAGGGTACGGGTATCGGGTACCCGGTTGCGACCTCTGACCTGGAGGTTTGAAGCGCCCCGTGCATGTAAAGGATGGACAGTGCAACGTCCATCACGGATGAAGGTTGTGCGCTTGTAATTATAGATGTGAAAGTCACGTGGGTGAAACAAATTAGAAATGAAAACAGCGAAATGAAATGACGTTTCGGGTGCAGCACAGGTGTGCTGAGCTTATAACGAATTGGCACGCTTTGTTTACGTGACAAACTTTGCTAATTGGCGGGCGGTGACGGGGTGGTTTAACGAGACATGTATATTAAAAAACACCGTCAGAAAAGATTGTGTTAACAGTTCAAAGAGAGTTGTTTTTATTGTCAAAACTTGTTTAAACAAATCAATACTGTGGCTATTCCAGGGAATTGCGCATTCGAATTGAACGTTCCCATGCGCTGTATGCACCTGGTACCAGTTTACATGAAAGGCAGTGAGTGCTACAAAATATAAAGCACATTGCAAAACGTACAGGTGGTTTTGGGCTCCGTATGCAAACTCAAACATTGGATATATTTTTTCCGAGTGGTTTATCCAGAAAAACAATTCCTGAAATTGTACTTTAAAGGTTTTTGCTTTTAATCAAAGCTCAATAATATCAACAGCCCTTGTTCAATCCACTCCAAGATGCAGGCGGTGACCAGACGGGTACTTCACCAGTGGTCAGCGCCCAAACAATCAGCAGTTCGGACGTCACCCTCAAACTCGGGTTTCTGAATCCATAGCACAATCACGTTCCTTCACAGCGGCCAGCTAGGAACTTGGTTGGGCAGAAAGCTCGCGGTCACGTGACGCACTTCAACCAATCGGGAAGCGTGCTACACGGTGGGAGGGGCTATGCACGACAGACACATAATCCCTGGTGGGCGGTGGGGAACTGTTATTCCTACCTGTAACAAAAAATTAACCCGTAAAAACAAAGTTTTTCACTATAAATCCTTTATATGCGTGGCGGCTAGAGTCCTCTCGTCCTCTGGCTTGAGATGGCTGCCACCTATGGGTCAGATGATTGCCTGCCACCATTAAGCAATTGGTAATTAAATATTTTTAAAAAAATTCCCTAAACAGTGTAAAATTTTGGAAAAAATGTTTCACGAACATTAATTGTCACGCACAACGAGTCTGTGCAAAATGTCAGCTCGATTGGATGACGGGAAGTGGGTTAAAAAACGACTGAAAGATTTGCACGGTCGTAAGCAAGCAAGTTAACTTAATATAAAGGATTTTAAAAAACCCACTGCATATATACGCTTAAGACAGTTCCATGAACACGAAGTGTAGACAGGTGTTGTTCTCTCTACATCTGCTACCAGCAGCAAAGTCTATAAAACTTTGCAGAATGGAACATGTCACAAATCAACTTTATTTAGGCATTTTTGGGGTTTTTATCAAGTAGGTGAGAGCAGACAGGCCCCGTACAACAATCTTCTGGAGTACGAGAACATCTGATTTTGCAAAAACCTTCCCACTTCGTGTTCATCCTTCCAATAGATGCAAATTTGAAACGATCTTTGAACAGTCGAGCAAATGCAACACAACAAAAAAGCACATTGCTCTGAACATGGCTATCTCCTCTGCATGGAAACAAAACGTGTTGCATATTTCAACTCCAGATGACTTAAACGGCACGTTTTATCTTTAGACGTGACTTTACCGAAAAAAACAAAGAATAATTCCTGCAGTCACGAAAGCTCCAAAATTAAGAAGGAACAAAACTGACAAGTCAGTCACTTCTTTCTTGGAAGAGACAAGTTCCTGCCTTGGGTAGTAAAGCCAAGATGCTGCTTTATATTCTATTGACTGCATTCTGTAAAAAAAAAAAACTATGCAAGCAAGCTCAAAGGAATTTCGATTTAAAGCTTTCGTGACTGCAGGGATTCATCTTCTTGGTTCTTTCGGTAAAGTCACGTAGAATGGAAATAAAATAATAATAAATAAAAACAGACTCTGTCTTCTCGACAGACCTGTTCTTCACCTGAGGACGGCTGCTTGTGTTCTGGCCGAAACGTCGTTCTTTCGGTAAAGTCACGTAGAAGGGAAATAATAAAATAATACAAATAAAACATCATAAAATAATTCTCACGACGTTTCGGCCACAACGCAAGCAGCCGTCCTCAGGTGGAGAACAGGTCTGTCGACCGTGACTTTACTGAAAGAACCAAGAAGATGAATCCCTGCAGTCACGAAAGCTTTAAATCAAAAGACACCAGCTTATTTACCCCAAGGGCTTTTCATACAAAGTGCATCCCATGGCCCACACAACCTCCCACCATCATCCATCTATCGCTACCCCCCTCCTCTCCTCACTCCAGCCCCTCTTCTTCTTCTTCGATGTCAGAGCATGAAGACAATTTTGGCATCTTGCTCCTGGGCACCTCCAGGCTGCTACTGCCTCCCCAGCTGCCAGCACGAGGAAGGGCAACGGCTTGGCGAGCGTGCGCTCGCAAATTGTATTTGGCAATGCTGCTTTTGCGATACCGATTGCCGACAGAGGACAGATTCCTGCCAGAGGGCCGCAGCGCTGGGAACACTTTGGCACGGATGCCGTCCTTGGTGTCGATGCCGTCATCGTCGTCGTCTTCGGAGCTGAGGTGGACTGTCTCTTCACTGGACGAGCGCTGCAG